TCGGTAGGTAAAGGTAAAGTCGGGAGATGTGAACCAGCGTCATTGCAAGCGGTTATAAACCATAAGTCCTCTGCCACCAGTACGGACATCTGACAAGACACTGTCTGCCTGTGTCGCCGTCTGCACGCAGCTCCGTAGCTACAGCGACGTTCCTCCATTTGCCCCAGAGTGAACTCTGGTACCCATTTTCTAGAGGCTAGGTTAACCCCGGGAACCGCCCGGTTTCGAACACCGGCCGTGGGCTGCAGCGGGTCGCAGCTGGCTTTGAAAGCAAGTCTCCTATGGACTGCGCTAACGCGGCCCCACTTTGTTGATAGATATAATACAGTTGTTGTAGGAAGGATGAGTGTTTGGCAGGCCCGAATGTAAGACCGGCCTGCATGCCAAATTTGCGATCCTTATAAAATAAAGTTTTGTCGTTCTGTTTGTGTATGTGTGTGTGTGTGCGTGCGGGCTTGGACGTGTGTGTTTTCTCCTCTTGAGATTTGTATTCTGTTGGATTAACATCTCAAGTACGAGAATCAGACGGTTACAGATCTCGAACATCCCATTCAGCCGTGTAGCCATATATTAAAGTCCATACCGTGTAGCATTGGTAGTCATGTTGGTAGTCCACTAACTTCTGTCTCGTGTACTTTCAGTCGACTCTGACACAGAAGATCTTCTGTGCCATGATGTCAAACTGTCCAGCATCTTTTCTGCCTCTCATCCCCTCCAACTTTCCTACTGTCGATGTACTCCAGTTTTTTCCTTTTCATCACATGACCAAGGAACGTAGATTGTCTCTTTCTTATGTGAGCAGTCAGTTCTTTTCGTAAGTCAGTTTCTTTCAAGACGTCTTTATTACTCTTTTTGTCTGTTCGTGGTATTCTCATAATTCTTCTTTAAAACCACGTCTCCGCGGCTTCCAAATAATTTTTCATTAATCTACCAACTGTCCATGATTCACTTCCATTTATCAGGGTAGGATTTATATAGCTTTTAAGAATTCTCTTTCTAGTCTAAATTGAAAAAGAAAGATTGAAGAACATTCAATATGTTCTTTTCTGTCAAATGCTGCCTTTGCCTGAGCTATTCTACATTTAACTTCTTTCCTTGTAATGTTATCAGGGTACCCCAATTTGTGGATTGTCCCATTTACTTTGATGTTGTATTTCGGAGAATTCAGTTTCTTTTTAATTACCGTTACTTCGGTTTTTGCTGCTGTTCAGGCTAAGACCCTTGTTTTGACTTTATGATACAGTTAAGTCTTGTCATTTCATGCAGTTGTGCCAATAGGTCTAAACCTGTATTTTATGAACCAAATGGCACTTGCTGGGTGATGTGTTTAGCATCATGCCGGCCGCCTTTACTTCCCAGGACTGTACCTGGTACACACTCAAGACTGGGTTGACCTTCTTCTTCTTCTTCTTCGCGTTCACCAGCTGTAAACTCCGGCAAAAAGTTCTGGTTGCTTATCCACTTCTGGACTGCAGTCATGTTCCAGAACCTGAGTGTTGCGTGTGCATCCGTTTTACAGATCTGACTCATTTGTATGTTGACTGCTGGTTCCTTGCCTCTCGGGCAGATGCACTCTGGGTTTGAAGGAAGCTCTCAATTAGTCGACTCTTACTACATGCTTTTGGATAGGCAGTGGGTCTATTCTTGTTTTCCCTATAATAGGTCCCCAGAACCCACACGGGGTCGACCTGAGAGCCAAGGAAATTTTTGTTTAAAGTCCAGCCCTGTGAGGACCCAAACCCACGACCTTCCGATCCGCAGGCGAGCATCTAGCCGTTAAACCTAGTTGTGCCATATAGCACAGTTATATTGGGGCACCACATAACTGTCCCCACCTGTATTCTATCTTAATTACAGCCAGTGTGGCGAGAATATTTCAATTTCCTATTCATGAAATTGTCAGGCCGTTCGTGGATGTTCAGATCTTGTTGTCCATCTACAGAGTAACAGCAGAAATCATTTCATTGTGTGGAGCTGGGGTTCTCATACTGGGTGCCGCCATCGTATGCCAGGGGTGCCGGGGCAATAATCAAGAATCTTTCAAAATCTGCTCAAGATCAGTGAAGACAGCAGTTTAAAACAGAAATACCTTGAAGGAAGCCAAGAAGAATTCTGGATGCAGGTGTATATAGAAAACAATTCTGTTAGCAAGGCTGCAGTGTATTCTCAACGTACAGCTTACATAAACAGATACATGAGCAACCTTTAAGTGATTTGAGGGTACAGTTAACTAAACTTCCCAAAAATATAAAGGAAATAATGAACATAATTCATCCAGACCCTTCATCGCTTTTAGGACAATTGAGCATTGAATGGGCACTGTTTTTTTTTCTTTCTTCTTTACCTAACTATTTAAATAGGTATCTGCGCCGAGAAATTTATTTGTGCCCGTCACGGGGGACGTGGCAAACAAAGTTTGAGAAACCCTGGTGTAGAGCAACAGACAGAGACATTCAGTGTATTGAGCACTGCACCGAGAAGATTTATTCTGTCTCTCTGTCACTTGCTTTATCTGTTTTCGTTTTCTCTACTTTTTTCTGATCCTGCAATAGCTATCGCAACCGCCCTATCTACTATCACAGCTACTACTACCATTGCAGCTGCTGCTACAACTACTGCCAGCACTAAAGTAGCTGAAAGTAACCTTACTGTTGCTGTTATTGCTATCATCATCACCACTGCTACTTCTGCTATTACTACTACTTCTACTGCTAATGCTACTAATTCTACTACTGTAGCTACTGCTGCTGCTGCTACTACTAATATTAACACTGCTTCTACTACTACTGCTGCTAAAACGACTACTGCTGCGGCAGTTACTGCTTCTACTGCTACTGCTGCTGCTACTACTGTGATTACCACTGCTGTTGCTAAATCGATTACTAATATTACACTATTTTTACTGCTGCTGTTGTTTCTGTTCAGCAGCAAGCAATGTTATCACTTTTCTTGTAGTGCGAGAGAGATATATACACACACACAAACAGAGAGAGAGAAAGAGTTTGATATCAAAGTGAGAAGCTATAAAAATAATCCATACATGTCTGCACACAAGGTTGGCTAAACTGTTAATGGTGGTCCACACACCAGAGGTGGCTGGTTGATGTGGAGAGTGGGGTAGGGCTCCTGAAAGTCTGGACAGACATCTTTATAAGGATTCTCCTAGACATCAGTTAGTTATCGGGTAATCGATGGACAGAATTCTGTGAAAAGCCTTTTTACTTCTGTCTGAGCAAAGTCGGCAGAATTCTGTGACTAGTCTTTTACTTCTGTCTCACCAGACTATCTTCAGCTGTGTGGCAATGAGTCGGTAGTTTTTGTCTTTTAGTGCTGCTGTTTTATCTTTCTTTTGACTCTCCATATGTCGATCATTTTACATACCTGCCTTCCATCTTATCTCTGTCTGTCTCTGGCTTTCTCTGTCCCTCCCTCCATCCAACCTCCCTCCTGACAAGTCTCTGTCTCTCTCATCCATGCACCAATCCATCCATCCACCAATCCATCCTTCCCCCAATACATCCATCCATCCACTCATGCATCTGTCTATCCAGCCATCCATCCATACTTTCCATCTATCCATCCATACAACCCAACCATCTGTCTGTCTATCCATCTTGTCTGTCTGTGTATCTGCCTGCCTGCCCGTCTGTCAGTCTTCTCTTGTAGTATCCTAGCTTCCTTCCAGCCTGCTGTCTACATGAATGCTGCTCAGATTGGGAAACAAGCTTAACCACAAGATTGGTCCCATTGGTCATTGGTTAGTCGAAAGTTCTATTTCTATCATCACTACAGAAGGGTCATTCATAACTGCTTCGTTCTTGTGCCAGTGGACATCGCTCAGAATGTCCTTGACTTAAAGTTTGCACACGCAAAATAAAAATGTATAAGGCAGCTGTCAAATGTGTTACAACTAATGGTCCCACCCAAGAACTGCAGTTCAGTGTTGGTGTTGCTATGATGATAGTGAAAGTGAAGTAAATAATTATAATTGCGCATGTGTTGATGCTTAATCAATGGCACCAAACTATGCAAGGCATACAATGAGAGGAAAGGGATGTAGAGCAGGAGATAGATGAAGAACAAGATGGAAGGATAACTTTGGAGGAACGCTGCAGGGTGTCAGGAGATAGATGAAGAACAAGATGGAAGGATAACATTGGAGGAACGCTGCAGGGTGTCAGGAGATAGATAAAGAACAAGATGGAAGGATAACATCGGAGGAACGCTGCAGGGTGTCAGGAGATAGATGAAAAACAAGATGGAAGGATAACATCGGCTGTCAGGAGATAGATAAAGAACAAGATGGAAGGATAACATTGGAGCCAAAAGGGTGTCAGGAGATAGATAAAGAACAAGATGGAAGGATAACATTGGAGGAACGCCCTGGAGTCTGCGGTCAAAGCAGAATAGACCAAGAAGCACCTTCTTTAAAACCATGAGAAAACAAGAATCCGCAGCTTCCAAATAATTTTTCATTATCTACCAACTGTCCATGATTCACTTCCATTTATCAAGATAGGATTTATATAGCTTTTAAGAATTCTCTTTCTAGTCTGAATGGACAAAGAAAGATTACAGTGAATGTTCTTTTCTGTCAAATGCTACCTTTGCTTGAGCTATTCTACATTTAACTTCTTTCCTGTGATGTTATCACAAGTCGTAAGTGTCGACTAACTGGGAGCTTCCTTCGAAGCCGGAGTGCACCTGCCTGAGAGGCAAAGAAGCAACAGTCTGCATTCAAATGAGTTAGATCTGTAAAATGGATGTCAATCCATCACTGTGGAATGTGACAAAAGTCCAGAGTTTGATGAACAATCAGAACCTTTTGCTGGAGCTCATCAGCCGGTGACCGCCAAGAAGAAAAAGATTTCTACCTCGACAGCCGGGCGGTAAAAAAGGAAAGGGAAAAAGAAGAAGTTGATAATGATGGTGATATAACTGTAACTTTGATGATAGCAATGATGAAGATATTGAACGCTATCTTTTGTTTTCTTGTTCAGATTCAGAGGAAGATGAATTTGTGGATGCATTTGAGCATCAGCTTGAAGACAGAGAGTTGACTGTAGCTCTTCCTCACTCTCCCTCAGACATGATGCACAGGTCAGTTTCCCTTGTTGTTGTTGTTATTGTTGTGTGTTGCCACAGACCCTGTCTGTAAGGATGGCTATTTTTACCTGCTTTACTGAAAAATATGTTAATTTTCTTAATCATGATTTGAAGCTGGGTCTTCAGAATGAGAGCCTAATGTTCAAATCACTCGGCCAGCTGTATTTTAAAACATTTACAAAACAAGCATGCACATATGTATCATTGCAGAGACAACAGAGTATTAAACAGATATCTGTAGTGTATTTAACAGATATCTATGGAGTATTTAACAGATATCTGTGGAGTATTTAACAGATATTTGTGGAGCATTTAACCCTATCACCCCGGAAACATGTAGATTTCTGGAAAGTTTATAAAAATAAAAAGTTTGCACAGGCAATGATAAATTTTTATGAATTTGAAGATTTGATTTTTTTAATTTAAAAAAAAATTAATATAGGATTAGCAGTAATCAGTAAACACAGATAGAGTACACAGTGAAACGGCTACATTCTGTTAGACTTCAAAATTCAAAATAATTTATATGGTGACCCATACAGTAACCATGTAACCTCATCACTGTGGCACTATTGAAGGCTGAGGGAGAATTTCAGATCTAATCATGTCCAATCCTAACCACTGTGCAGGCACCAATAGAACAAATGCTATTAACTAGGCTTGTCAAGAACAATGTGGGTTTTTAGGCTTTCGCAGGAATGTGTAGCAGATGGCTATGCCAGATTGTCAGCATTTCAGAGTCAGAGTAATAAGAACCTTTTTTGTCAGGCATGAGGCAGTAAACTGTGTGGTTCTAGCCTCATATCTGTATTGACCAATCAGCACATGATGGGAATGTGTTCAGTATCAAGCCAGACACCTTTTGACCACTTGGTGGTGAACTGATGTATGACAAGCTAGATGTTGTGAGGGCCCTTTGGGAGTGTGTGAGCAGTGCAGAGGCACAAATAGATCAGGTCAAATTAAAAAAAAATCTTTTATCTCAATGAGGTTTGAACTCATGACCATTGAATCAGTTAGCAAAAGGGCTAGCCATTTCACTACTTCTGATTCCATTGAACATTGTAACAGCATACAGTTTTCGTGCATATGGTGCTACACCTAAATTTGTATAGACCAGCTGGCACTCTGTAGGTGATGTGATCAACACTGGCTGCCATTACATCTGAAGACATTTCCAAGTATCCATTTTAGGCTGGATTTAAATGGGAGCCTAGGTCGGTTATATTAAAAAAAAAATGTTTTTTTTAACCATCTTGTTGAGGATTTGAACCCAAGAGGCACGTGATTTAACATTGTACTGGGCATATAATACTCCCCAATTGATACGCTTCAGTGGTCCACATCACATCGCCAGCTTTTCTTCCCAGAATTTTTCTTCTGTGTGTTTCACTGGCTGAAAACTCCCAATGGAAAGCTCTGGGTGTTCGTCCATCTCCGGACTTTAGTCTTGTTCCAGAACCTGAGTGCAGCATGCACATCCGTTTCACAGATCTGGCTTTTGTGAAAGCAGACTTGTGGTTCCTTGCCTCTCTGGCAGATGTGCTCCGACTTCAAAGATGTCTCCAGTTAGTCGACTCTTACGACATGTTTGTTAGGGTGGCAGTGGGTCTGTTCTTGTTTTCACCCACAATTGGGCCACAGAACCCACTTGGGGATCTTCCAGATTTCTTTCTGGTGCCCTTTTTAGTCTCGGAGCCTAGGTCATATGTGAGGGGGCTTCAAAACGAAAACCTTAGCAGTGCGATAGAAATTACAATAACCATACCGTGGGGATGTCAAGAGTGTTAAGTGTGTGACATCATGGGTCAGGCACTTTGTCGTGAACAATGTCAAGGGTGTTAAGCATGTGACATCATGGGTCAGGCACTTTGTCGTGAGCAATCTACCACAGAAGTCACACCATTTTGAAACTTTCTACTCCTCCACTCCTACACTTACTGGACTGACAGGCATGCATTACCATACTGAACCTTCCTTCGCTGATGATTTTCTGTAGGTTCACCCCTTCACTGATCAGAAGACTTATGACAGAATGCTGCTCCTCTCTGGTGCATGTGAAGAGTGACACGATCATCTTTAAACTGTCATTATGGTGTCACTGTGTTTATCTGCACTGTGATGCCATGTGCTTATCACTCTTGTCATTCTTAACAAAAATATGGACAGGTTACAAGACCTTGGCATGATTATTATAGTTTCTTTCAGAAGATTACAATTATCATTTGAACCCCCACACCCACATATAAAAATCCACCTTAGTGCGGTTTCAAACCCAGGACTTATAGACCGGCATGTTGCCCCCCATGTTAACAAGTTTCCCTGCTCCTATCTCTGCTGACAGGCGTACAGACAGCATGGAGAGCTACCCAGATGTCTCCAGTGAATCAGAGTCTGAGGGCAGCAGTAACGAGGCAAGAGTGTACACAACAAAAACTTCACCAAAGAAGCTCTCGGTGAGTCTGTGTTGTGTCTGTGGTCTTGGTGAGTACATGTGTTTATGGTCTTGGTGAGTCCTTGTGTCTATGGTCTGGGTGAGTCCATATGTCTATGGTCTTGGTGAGTGATTGTGTCTATGGTCTTGGTGAGTCCATGTGTCTATGGTCTGGGTGAGTCCATGTGTCTATGGTCTTGGTGAGTCCATGTGTCTATGGTCTTGGTGAGTCCATGTGTCGATGGTCTTGGTGAGTGATTGTGTCTATGGTCTTGGTTAGTTCATGTGTCTGTGGTCTTGGTGAGTCTGTGGTCTTGGTTAGTCCATGTGTCTGTGATCTTTGTGAGTCCATGTGTCTGTGATCTTCATGAGTCCATGTGTCTATGGTCTTGGTGAGTCTATGTGTCTTTGGTCTTGGTTAGTTCATGTGTCTGTGGTCTGGGTGAGTCCATGTGTCTGTGATCTTCCTGAGTCCATGTGTCTATGGTCTTGGTGAGTCTATGTGTCTGGTCTTGGTTAGTCCATGTGTCTATGATCTTGGTGAGTTCATGTGTCTATGTTCTTGGTGAGTCCATGTGTCTGTGGTCTTGGTGAGTCTATGTGTCTATGGTCTGGGCGAGTTCATGTGTCTATGTTCTTGGTGAGTCCATGTGTCTGTGGTCTCGGTGAGTCTTATGTGTCTATGGTCTTTGTGAGTGTAAACGGTCATTTCACTGTGTGCGCAGGCATCTCACATTATTTACCAGTAGTCACAATGTGCACATACTAATTTCATTGTGTACTAGAAGCAATGGTGTGTACATGGTTTTCATGAAAGTGTGTACATGGTCATCACAGTGTGTAGATAGTAGTTTTTCTATGTGTACATTTGGATCCAAGTGTGCACATGGTGATCTCAATCTGTAAACTGTCTTCTCTAATGTGTACATGGTGATCCCAGTATGTACATAGTAATCTCAGTGTGTACATGGTCATCGCAGTGTGTACAGGGTCATCTCAATGTATACATGCGATCTCAGTGTGTATGTGTTCATCTTACTGTATGCACATTCATGGTAATCTCAGTGTGTACACAGTGATCTTATTGTTGTACTTGGTAATCTCATATGTACAGAGTTATCTCAGTTTGTATATGGTAATCTCATATCTACACAGAGTTATTTCGGTGTATACATTTACATAGCCTCAGTGTGTACATAGATTCAGAAAGAAAGTAGTTTCTGTCTAAAAAAGTTTTGTGTTTGCACTTTTTGTAACTACACAGCAACTCTAATATATGTAAATGTAGAAATTCTTTTGGAGTCTGAACATGGAAACTGTCAAAGAGAAAATCTTTGGAAATGTAATAGAAAATCTCATTCCATGTCGCAGTGTATTCGTTCACTAACATCAGAATATGTTATGTGATTGTTACCTTATATTATATCTTATGTGATTGTTTCATCATATCATAAGTTATGTGCGTGTTACAAAATATGGTAATGTGATTGTTTCTTATTTGTCTACCTACCGTTCACTGGCTGTAAACTCCGGCAGAAAGTTCTGGTTGTTTGTTTATTTCCGGACTTTTAGCCTTGCTTCAGAACTTGAGTTTTACAGATCTGGCTTGTTGAAATGCAGACTGATGGTTCTCAGGTAGATGCACTTCAACTTTAAAAGAAACACCCCTAATTAGTCAACTGTTAAAATATGTTATTGTGGGATGGGTTCTATTCTTCTCTCACTCAAAATGGGATCCCAAAACCCACCAGGAATTATTATCTAATATCACTTGTTATTTGCTTGTTACCTAATATCTTCTTCTTTTTCTTAAAGTACATGCCGTGTGGTGTTGATAGTCATGTCTATCCACAATCTTCTGTCTCGTGTACTTTCAGACAACTCTGACAAGATGATCCTCCATGCCATGAAGTCAGACTGTCCAACATCTTTTCTCTTGGTCTCCCTCTGCCTCCCCTCCCCTCCAGCTTTCCCTCCCCTCCAGCTTTCCTACTGTCACGATGTACACCAGTTTTCTCTTTCTCGTCACATAACTAAAGAATGTAGATTGTCTCTTTTCTCGTGCATCAATGACACAACCAAGTTGATTCTCAAGCCAGAGAAAGGCTGATCTAAGTTTCTGTCTGTTGTGGGCAATCAGTTCTCTTCGTGAGCCAGGTTCTTTCAAGACATCCTCATTACTATTTTTATCTGTCCAGGGGATTCTCATCATCCATCTGGAAAACCACATCTTATTTTATATGATACCTAACACCATATGTTATGAAATTGTTACGTAATTGTTTTATTAAGCAACTTTGTGTTCATCTCCAGCGTGAGCATCAAAGGACCGGCAGCCTGGACAAGATCCGTTTGCCAAAGTCAGTTTCCTCAGATTCCCACGGCTCAGATTGCTCACTGAGCTCCCGCAGGAAGAGACGCAAGCGCATCCCGGACAAGCCCAACATCAGCCTCAACTTGTGGAGCTTCATGAAGAATGCAATTGGGAAGGAGCTGTCCAAGATTCCGATGCCAGTAAGTGGATAGGGGAAGGGGGGTTTGCTGGTTGCAGTTAGTTGCATGTTCTTTACAGGAGCCTGAGGTGCCAGAGCCTGAGGTCTTGACCTCAACCCCTTTTTTATTCCCCTACCCAGTGTTAAAGGTGTGCTGTTCCCCCCCCCCCCCCCCCCTGTTTTTTTAATTTTTTTCAATTTGCAAGGAAGCTAGTTGGCTGTCCAAATTATGTATGCACATTCTCTATTTAAGTATTTGTTAGCACATTTGATATTATTTCAGATAAATTATTGTATTTCTTTACAGTTCAGCACAGTGAAAAAGATTAGTATTATTGCACACTTAAACAAGGTTTTGCGCACTGAATCCCCTTACGAACTTATAAAGTGTCTCCTCCTCCTGCGCCACCATTTTTTGTTTCTTTGTATCAGCGCCCTTGCCATAAACCAACCCCAGCTTTCCCCATGTGGGTTTCGGGGTCCCCATTGTAGGGGCTGAAAAGAATAGACCTACTGTGGACCCCTAACAAGCATGTCATCAGAGTCAGCTATTCAGAGGTGGCTTCCGTCAAAGTTGGAGTGCATCTACCTGAGAGGCGAACAACCAGCATCTGCATACCAAAAAATACTGAAACTCATAATTAGTAAACTTTTACGACATGTTTTTTCAGGGGGGTAGGGAGTCTGTTATTTATTCTCCCCAATGGGGCCCTGAAACCCACCCAGGGAGCGGCTTATCTAGGTCAGGTTTCTTCGATCCCATAGTGTTATTATTTTAACTTGTTCAGTGTCAACTAATGAAAATTTAACGCATACAGAATGAAGCCATGAGGGTAATTCTGGGAGCTACAAGAGATGCCCCATTAGTATGTATGCGATATATACACGCACTGCCGACTATTACAGATAGGTTCAAAGAGCTGCATGCTTAAGTCATATCTCAGGGTAGTTGCAGACAAGAAGCACCTCCTGCAGGAAGCCCTAGACAGAGCTAAGGGTCACAGACTGAAAAGAGGAAGGTCTTGGAAGCACAAGTTGAAGACACAATTAGACATGTCTATAGGCTTGATGGCGCCGCAGGTCGACCCAGCCTAAAATGGGTACCAGGATGGCTGTCCTGGGAAAGTAAAGATGGCTGGCGTAATGCTGACCACATTACCCATCCAGTGCGGATTGTTCTGTAAAAATATAAGACGCTCTGCCCATATACCCGATGCCCCTTAGGCGTAATAAGGGATCTTTACTTTACTTTACTTATAGGCTTGATAACATAGAGCAAGGAGGGGAGTGGGTCAGAATATCCCAGCAAAAGTCAGACATGTGTAGTGTTCTCATCACTTAAGGCCGTGAGTGCAGAGACTGGCCAGAGGGTGCTGAAGAATCAGAAGTTCAGCAAATGATTCAGGACAGTTCTCACCCAGGTGATGTGATAAGCTATACAGATGGCTCTGTGTTGAGAGGCAGATGAACTGCATGGGGGTTCTTAGCAAAAGTGAATGGACGTCGCTTAGTGCAACAAAGCCTGGCACGATATCACAACGTCTAGTCTGAGAATGGAGGTGGATGCAGACACTGAAGCCTTTCGCTGGCTTGAGAATCAGTTGTACACACATCTCATAATTGTAACTGACTCACAGAGCATGTTGAGAAAATTGGAGACCGGTATGTTTCGTGAAGAGTGGCAAACATCGCTTCAGGTGTCCCGGGTAGCTAGTGTCTTTTGGATATGTTCCCCAGGAAATGCTGGTGTATTAGGAAATGAACAGAGAGATAGACTGGCTGGCTCTGCACAACTTGGTGGTGAACTGATGCATGACAAGCTGGATGTTGTAAAGGTTCTTTCAGAGCAAGTGAACAGTGAGGAGGCACAGATGGATCCTCATGGTCTTGAACTGTTTTAAACCATAACATTTATGTATAAAAAAAAGTTTTAGTGCGGATATTGATAACTGTTTTAAACTATAACATGTATTGTATGTATAGAAAAAGTTGTAGTGCTGATATAATACTGTTTTAAACCATAACATTTGTGTATAGAAAAAGTTATAGTGCTGATATTGATAACTGTTTTAAACTATAACATGTATTGTATGTATAGAAAAAGTTGTAGTGCTGATATAATACTGTTTTAAACCATAACATTTGTGTATAGAAAAAGTTATAGTGCTGATATTGATAACTGTTTTAAACCATAACATTTGTGTATAGAAAAAGTTATAGTACTGATATTGATAACTGTATTTAACCATAACATTTGTGTATAGAAAAAGTTATAGTACTGATATTGATACTGGTACTTGAAAATGAAAGGATTACCCCTGCTGAATCCTGTTTTCTCATTGACCCATGCTCTCCATTTCTAAGTTCTTCTCCACCTTCACTGGCTGTAAACTTCGGCAGAAAGTTCTAGTTGTTTGTCCGCCTCTGGACGTTATTCTTGTTCCAGAACCTGAGTATGCAGGTTGTTGGTTCCTTGCCTCTCATGCAGATGCACTCCGACTTCGAAAAAAGTCCCCAGTTAGTTGAAGTTGACTCTTACGACATACATGTTGTTAAATCAGTGGGTATGTTCTTGTCCCTCCCCCCCCCCTCCCCCTCCTTCCTTCCCATGAGGCCCTGGAACGTACACAGGGAATTTTTTACTGCGGCTGTTTGATAGTCCTATTATTGTAACTGCTTCAGACTTGAACATTTCCCTATGGGGGTTCTGGGGTCCCATTGTGGAGGGAAAATGGATTAACACGCTGGCCCATAACAAGCATGTCATAAAAGGCAACAGATTTAGGATTTTCTTAAATTGAATGTAGTCGACCGAAAGGGGCAGATATTGTAGGCTAGCTGTTAACCGCAACATAACGTTTCAGCTGCCCTTTTAAGAGCAAGCGTAAATGAAGAAAGGATTAATAAACGGGGTAGCTGGGACTGAAAGAGTTGAAGTGTTTTGCAAAGTGCTCTGAATGACATGGGTTTAGTGGGTGCAGGTGTTTCAGTAACATCATCATCACCATCCTCCTGTTCCATTATACCTCTCCATAGGTCTTTGATCCTCTGTTCCCTTTTATCCTTGCAAGTCTTTTTCATCTCATGGATGGAACTCAGTCCAGCAATGTTCCTTGGAGGTTTCTCCAGGACAGTGGGCTCCCACCTGGGGGAGGGGGGGGGGCACTATGAGGGGCTCAAGGGGGACCTCAGGCAGTTTTGAAATTGATTAGTAAAAAAAATAATAAAATACTTTTTAAATGTGCATATGTAACACAAAAAGCCATGGTCGGGTTTTTTTTTTTTTCTTAAGTTTGTGTATCTACAGTTAAAAGTCTAATGAATGTGATAACACAGGCATTTATAGGGGAAGAACACATCCTGACCAAAACTGATCTCCATACTGTTTCCCTTGTTGTGGAATCTATTGTTCTCCTTTTAATCATGGGGGGGGGGGGGTCTGCTATATACTTAGGGAGGGGGGGGGGTGGGACTTGGAAATAGGTCGGAGACCACTGCTGTAGGACATTTCCTCAGCCTGTTTGTTTACCATTTCAATGCCTAAGAAAGGTGCAAATGAAGAACAACCTGACGTACCAAACTCTTATCAGCAAAAGAAGAGAATAATCAAATCTATCATAAAGCCACCAAGACGGTTACCATATTATGGGCAGACCAGAGCAAGTTATTATTCTATGCCTTAGAACAGGACACAGTCAACTTCGCAGCCACATGTACACAAAATTTAAAATTGGCGAATCAGCCATGTGCACACGGGGATTAGCACCTGAGACAACAGATCACGTCCTCCAATACTGTCCCAAATACAACATATCAAGGCAAAACTTTTGGTTAAGAGAAACATCGATGCAGGTCAAACTTTACGGGTCACTGAGGGAATTACAAAAGACAGTGAAGTTCATACTAGAGACAACATTGCAGATATAGATAGCTTATTTCAAGCAAACGAAAAAAGGTCTTCTTTTTTGTGTGTGTGTGAACTACTCTGTCTACCCTCATGATGTGGCCATTATGTCATCATCTTCTTTTTCTTATATCTGTTGATAAACTGGGTGTCCGCACATTTCTCTTATTTCTTTGCCTTTATTGAATGGAATATTCTCCGGTTTCCTCAGGCATCTGTCTTTTTAATTCATTTAACTTTTGTTCCATGTTTTGAGGGGTCCACAGCTTTCAGTGTGGCAAACGTTAAAATTGAAATAACATTAGAATTGAAAATACGTTTTATCTGGTTTTAAAAGTATATAATTTAAGCTTTTAAAAGCTGCTGTTGCCTTTCCGGTTCATATCTTAACTTGACCTTCCGCAGGTGAACTTCAACGAGCCGCTGTCGATGCTGCAGAGGATCATGGAGGAGATGGAGTATGCCGAGATCCTTGACCACGCTGCCAGGTGTGGGGACTCGGCCGAGCAGATGGCCTGGGTGGCTGCCTTCACGGTGTCTGCCTATGCCACCACTCTCTTCAGGGTGGGCAAACCCTTCAATCCGCTGCTGGGGGAGACCTTTGAGTTTGACAGAATGGAAGACCTTGGGTGGAAAGGTATCTCTGAGCAGGTGAGAACAGGTGTTCAACTTAGGTGTTACTTTCTACCAGCACTTTTTTTCTGGGTATGAGAAGTACAGTTCTTCTTCTTATTCTTTAGCATTCTGAACCGCAGGGCTAATTAGTTCATTGCTGCAGATATCATCCACCTTTGTTCACCTCTATGGTTGGCCTTTTTTTTTCCCAGTTGGTGACAACAGGTATTTGTAGGTCTGCGTGTATATTAACTCTTCACCGTCTACTTGGTCTGTCTTGTGGTCTACTCTAATTCACCTCTTTTGCATACACAGCTTTTATCTCTGTTGTCTGTCATTGTGTCTATATGCTCCAAACACTGCAGTTTGTTAGCTCTGAGGATGTCAGTAACTAGTTAATATTTCGACAACTTTATGAATTTCATTGTTTTTTCTCACTCTGCATTCTCTCCCATTCTCTCCTAGTGGTTCTTAACCTTCGTAATGCTGCGACCCATTAATGTTGTGGCAACTCTCCCCCCCCCCCCCCCCCCCCCCCCCCACAATACAATTATTTTTGTCGCTACTTCATAACTTCAGTGAATATTTGTATTGCGATGGTCTTTGGTGACCCCTGTGAAAGAGTCGTTGGACCCAAAAAATGGGTTGCGACCCATAGGTTGAGAACCGCTGGACTAGAAGCAGAAGAATTATTCTATATAGAATAGGATGAATGTAGATTGTCACACAGAGTGACTCAGCAGGGGTGCAGCACTGCTAAAAGGTTTCCAACCCATTATCCAGGCAATAGAAGAATAAATGACCCATAATCCAGGCAATAGAAGAATAAATGACCCATAATCCAGGCAATTGAAGAATAAATAACCCATTATCCAGGCAATAGAAGAATAAATGACCCATAATCCAGGCAATAGAAGAATAAATGACCCATTATCCAGGCAATAGAAGAATAAATGACCCATTATCCAGGCTATAGAAGAATAAATGACCCATTATCCAGGCAATAGAAGAATAAATGACCCATTATCCAGGCTATAGAAGAATAAATGACCCATTATCCAGGCAATAGAAGAATAAATGACCCATTATCCAGGCTATAGAAGAATAAATGACCCATTATCCAGGCTATAGAAGAATAAATGACCCATTATCCAGGCTATAGAAGAATAAATGGGTAAACTAAAATTGGACATACTTTTTTTTTCTGATTGTAATTTGTTTCCCCGATAAATCTTGTCAGTTCTCACCAAGTACTCGAAATTATTCCTTCTTACATAACATGACCAAAATTTACTGTCTGTCTACTGTCTCATAAGGTTTTGTACAAAAAGCATTATTTATACATAAATTCTAACTGCTGTATGTATTATAGAATTGAAATATACCTCTGTGGTTGCCAGATTTATTTAGTACATGCTGACCAAAAACTGAAATATAAGAAGACACTTGCTGTGATGTTTGAGACGTGTGGAGAATAGTCAGAGAAGCACATGGTGTGTTGTTTGGACTGAAAGAGTTGATCAGCTTAGTTTTTATCAGTCATTGCTGGGTCAGCCCTCTGACCAATGTCTTTTGATACAAACCATAAGCCTCAGTTGATCTTCTTTTAAAGTATAGCAAATCAATGTCTTTTCTGATAGCAATAATAAGACGTAAAGTTTTTATAGAAGTGCGTCAAGTCCAGGCCCTAATAGAAAGAAAAAAATTCCCACTCTCTCCCCCCACCCCTCTTTTCTACCCACGCACAAACACAAGCAAGTTGAAAAAGTCAACTAAATACGGAGTTTAAAGCTGGTGAACGTGAAGAAGAAGAAGATATTGGAATAAGAACTGTTGAGTGAAAATGACAACCAGTAATTATTGTCTTCCGGTGACAGCAAAGTGCCAACCAGAGATCAATATCTTCCATATAGGTACATCAAAATAACCAGTAATTAATTGTTTCCAGTAGAGAGACAGCAAACATAACCCGTAACTAATCTTTCCAGTAGAGAGACAGCAAACATAACCCGTAACTAATCTTTCCAGTAGAGAGACAGCACAAATTATCCATAACATAATCGTTTCCATGTAGAGAAGAAAATAACAACAGGTGGGTAGAGTGCATTCAAAATACAGTGGTAGTCGGCTCAGATAATAAGATAAAGGGGATTGGCTTCCGTTAGACATATTGTTTTTTTTTTTTTTTTTTTTTTTTTTTTTGGGGGGAAGGGGGGGGGGGTTCTTTTGGTTTATGTTGTAATGATTGGATACAGAGTAGAAGCTGGAAGACTGGTTAATGATGGAGTCTAGGCAAATTTTTGTAAAGATTGTATGCCGTTTAGTGATTAATCAGAATTTGAACTTCTTTAAATTTTCATAGCAGTAAATTTGCATTATCTACTTATTAAACCTTTAGCATGTCGTTAATTGACTTCCCTGTATGGGTTCTGAGGCTCCTCAGTGGGGTAAACAAGAATAAACCCACTGCCTCCCCAACAAGCATGTCATAAGAGTCGACTAACTGGGGACTCCCTTCAAAGTTTGAGTGCATCTGCCTGAGTGGCAAGGAACAACCAGCTGCACACAAATAAGTCAGTAAAGCGGATGTACACACAACACTCAGGCCACAGTCCAAATGGACAAACAACCAGGACTTTTTGCCGGAGCTTACAGCCGGTGAACAAAGAAGAAGAAGAAGAAGAATTGACTGGCCCCTTTCTGTCTTTTCAGTTAGTAGTGTTGTCTGATAGGGAGAGGCAGGGGAATCACAGCTGGGAATGAAATCACATTCCGTGACAAGCAAGACACGCACACGTTAGAAAAACTTCTTTATATAAACATGCCGTGTCTTTTAATGTGGCCAAACTATTTCCCTTGTCTTTTTTTCCCCAGTAACTCATTTTTAAAATATCCCTAATTGTGACAAGCTGGTGTCGACTACTAGGCTGGCAGCCAGCTCAGATCTTTTAGGATGTTTCCCTGTTTGAGGTTCCCTGCTTGCGAGGTCCCTGCTTATCTTTGTAGTACAACGCCTGGACAGTATTGTACAGACCAAGTGTTGCATGATCCCTCTCTCAGCGTACCTTGTTTACTGCAGAGGTAAGATAACAGCAGCACTTTTGGAGCGAAGCATGCTGCAGGAGATGCCAGATTAGAAGAGCAACATGCTTTGTCCACAGATCAGAAGAGCAATACTCTTGTCTGTCCTGTCAGAGCTTTCCCTCTAGACCAACAGTCAGCCAGGGCTAAGAGCTTTGTTGCCTGCCGTAACATTACATTTATAGGTTGCCCCTAATTGGCACTTTTACATTATCAACTTTTTAAACTGTATTTGTGATCAGATTATTACATTTTCACTATCTTGGTAGTAAATTTCTCATTATCGTTGTAGTCAAATTTCAGGCTTTTCTTAGTAAAAAAAAAATTTTTTTTACTTTTTGTTTGATCTAAACTTCTAAATCATTGATAACTTGTCTGTGTGGGACAGGTCTCCCATCACCCTCCCATGCTGGCCATGCACATCGATGGTAGGGAGTGGAGCACCTGGCAGGAGTTCACCATGACAACCAAGTTCCGCGGCAGATATCTTCAGATTATTCCCATGGGTAAGTACTTTAAGAAGAATTCAGTCTTCCCTGTTCCAAAGCCCTTTTATGGGGGGAAAAGGGGGGGGGGGGACCAGAATATCATAAGAGTAGACTAATTAGATGATTCCTTACGAAGTCAAAGTACATCTGTCCAAAAGGCAAAGAACCAGCAGTCTGCACACAAATAAGTCACATCTTTGGAACAGATGTGCAGACAGAACTCAAGTTCTGGAACAGCACTAGGATCCAGATGTGGACAAACAACCAAAACTATCCACTAAAGTTTACAGCCATTGAACGCATAAAAGAAAAAAGAAGAAGAAGAATTGAATCAGAAGATTTAGATGTACAGAAGAATAGGTCATATTTCATAGAAAACAAAAGCAATCAAATACAGAATCACTTTGTTTTTGTGAATGCACTATGTGAAATCTACAGAAGATAGAAGAAAATAATTCTTTCTCTGTTCAGCACAAGGCAGAAAATGACACATAGAAAAGACTGCTGATATCAGGTTGAAGTTGCCCAAGAGGCAAGTTAGATTCCAAGTACGAAGACAGACCTCACAAGCAGACACTATACAGAGGGATCTCAAACAGTGAAACATCCTAAAAGATCTGTTTATCTCTGTCTTGAAAAAGACAAGGAAAATAGTTTGGCCACATTAAAAGACACAATATGTTTATATAGAGAAGTTTTTCTAACATGAGCATGTCTTGCTTGTCACGGGATGTGATCCACCCACCCCCTCAACCTCCCTATAGCGCAGTACTCTTGAAAAACACAGAAAGATGATTTTCTTTTCAAACATACAGGATGGAAAAGTTAAAAGTGAGCAAGGAAGAGGCAGACAGTGATTTAAAAAAAAAAAAACCACTACCAATGTGTGTAAAAAGTATTTCTCTCCTCTGCCTCGCTCTTTCTGCCTTTGACCAGTATTGCTCACACTCTCTCTCTCTCTGTGACAGGTTTTGCTCACTCTCTCTCTCTCTCTCTCTGTAACAGGTATTGCTCACTCTCTCTCTCTATGACAGGTATTGCCCACCTGGTGTTTCACAAGTCAGGTCACCATTACACCTGGCGCAAGGTGACCACAACAGTCAACAACATCATCGTGGGCAAGCTGTGGGTGGACAACCACGGGGAGATGGACATCACCAACCACCTCAACGGGGACAAGTGCCACCTCAAGTACTCCGCCTACAGCTACTTCTCCCGGGAGAACCCCAGGAAGGTATGTGTAAGCTTGTCGTCGTCTCTCATACTTCTTGTCTCCCTGTGAATAATTCATAGTTTAACAAGTACGGTAACTATAGCTTTCGATTTTTTTTGTGTGTCTAGTGTGTTCTTCTATCTTTCTACTTCTTTCTATGAGCGCCGTTCAATACATTTTTTGTTACTTTATTAATATATAATATTTAACAGCCTCAAGGGTTCCCCCTCTGTTTATTTATAGGAATGACGTATACACACCAGAACTTACTAATCAAAAACATTTCTTAAATGTTTGTGTATTCTAGACAAAGCATTAAGGTCTACTGTGTTCGTAAATTGTTGCTGTGCTTGTTATTCGACATATACTTTGTTAATATAAATTTTTTTAACCTATGGTGCCATTTCAATGGTTTCAAATGAATTTTGTCCGTATTCCATAGTTGTGGATTTCAAGCTGTATGATAAACATGGCCAATGAGACACTTTGGGTTGGGGGGGGGGAGTGCCTAGTTGACTATGTTCTTAGTGCACTTGTATCCATATCAAGGCTCACACGCCGTCTAGAGATGACATGTTCAATTCCCAATATGGTAACTATAGCTTTTGATTTTTATGTAATGTTGTCTAGTGTGTTCTTCTATCTTTCTACTTCTTTCTGTGAGTGCTGATCAATACATTTTCTGTTACTTTATTAATATAGTTTAACAAGGAAATGAGCAAGCTGATAGACTTAAAGGTAAGGCTACTGTGAAAGCCGTACAAGCCATGGACCAGGCTGATTTACTGAATGCTCTAGGAGAGTTAAGACGTTTGCGTGAACCAACTGAGAACTGGGAATCTGCAACCATGGTCAGACTGCAAGAACAACATGTTAAACGGGGTGTCACCAAACAAGAACACTTTGTGGGTAGCCAAAGAAGAATTATGAATCAACACAGAACTTGTGTCGTTAGCTGCTACACGCTGCGGGATTTGCTGAGGAGGGGATCCGAGCACTGACTGAGTGGTTCGAGGTGCAGTGAGGATAATCTGTCGACTGACTAACTAATTTATAGGTAACAATGAAGTTGACTCTGTGTAGTTCATATAAAACACCTTTTATCTGTGCCCACTGCGTTTATCAGTTGAAGACAGGCTAGAAAGACCCGTATAACAATTCCTTTATCTACAGATACTCTTCCCTGTCCTCATCGACCTAGATCCCTCCAGGCCCCTATTGGGTTTACAAGCCACCTCCGGACTGACAGATCAGCAGTAGTTTCATGACAGATGAAAGAGAGAATGGACAATGGTCCTTATCACTAGTGATAGATGAACAGTCTTCCCAATCACTTCTTATTTATTGCTGTATTCCATGCATTTTTTGTCAAGATGGAAATGATTTTATAGTTACAGGTGGCTGAAAAAGAAAGAATAAAGTGTCTTGAATGATAAGCCATCATTTGGACTCTGTGCAGTCACAAGAAGAACACATTTTCTTGGTAGAGTCTATCCTAACCCAGGATTTGCACCTTAAATAAGAAGTAAATGTTGCTTCTCAGGTGACTGGGGTGGTGACTGATGCCCAAGGTACTGCCAAGTGGGTGCTGACCGGGACATGGGACCAGAAGATGGAAGGAGCTGAGATCGTGCACACAGAAGAGTCCAACAAGGGCAAACCTGTGTTTGAGACCGGCCCACACAAATGTTTGTGGAAGGTCAAACCACCTCTGTAAGTTCATGTCGAAACATGTATCTGTGTATACTTTACAGAACTTTTCAGAACCAACTCCAGAAATGTTTACTGTTTGGTTTTACAAGGCAGTTTTAGGTTTGATAGGTTGCCATTGCTTTCTGACTGGTTGGCTCTCAATGCAGTAGCCAAAATCAACACAAGATAGACTGCTGCCAAATAACACGCAACTGGAATCAAACCAAGAACTTCAGAATTGTAAATCATGTTGAAACACCTAATTAAAACTGATAGTGTCTGTTGTAGTCCAGTAGAATAGAAGTGGATAGATGATCCAGTAGATAGAAGTGGATAGATTATCCAGTAGATAGAAGTGGATAAATGAGCCAGTAGTATAGAAGTTGATAGATGATCCAGTAGATAGAAGTGGATAAATGAGCCGGTAGTATAGAAGTGGATAGATGATCCAGTAGAATAGAAGTGGAAAAATGAGCCAGTAGTATAGAAGTGGATAGATGATCCAGTAGATACAAGTTGATAGATAGTGCAGTACAGAAGTAGATAGATGATCCAGTAGTATAGAAGTTGTTAGATAGTCTAGTATAGACGTGGGTAGATGATCCAGTACAGAAGTAGATAGATGATCCATTAGATAGTCTAGTATAAAGTAGATAAATGGTCCAATAGTTAGGAGTGGATAGAAAACCAGTACAGAAGTGGATAGATGACCCAGTAGTATAGAAGTGGATAGATAATCCAGCAGTGCAGAAGTCGACAGATGATCCAGTAGTACAGAATTGGACAGATGATCCAGCAGTACAGAAGTGGATAGATATTCCATCACTACAGAAGTGGATAAGTGATCCAGTAGCATATCAGAAGGCAGACATCTTGGTAACAGGCAGGGAACATAGCAACAGACAGACATCTTGGTAACAGGCAGGGAACATAGTAACAGACATCTTGGTAATGGGCAGGGAACATAGTAACAGACTGACATCTTGGTAACAGGCAGGGAACATAGTAATAAACAGACATCTTGGTAACTAGTAGGGAACAAAGTAACAGACGGACTTCTTTGTAACAGGCAGGGAGCAAAGTAACAGACATCTTTTTAACAGGCAAGGAACATAGTAATAGTAATAGACAGACATCTTGGTAACAGGCAAGGAACATAGTAATAGACAGACGTCTTGATAACAGGCAGGGAACATAGAAATAGAGAGACATCTTGGAATGGGCAGGGAACATAGTAACAGACAGACATCCTGATAACAGGCAGGGAACATAGCAGTAGACAGACATTTTGGTAACAGGCAAGGAGCTTAGTAATAGACATTTTGGTAACATGCAGGGAACACAGCAATAGACAGACATTTTGTTTACAGGCAGGGAACATAGGAATAGGCATCTTGGTAATGGGTGGGGAACATAGTAACAGACAGGGAACATAGTAACAGCCAACTTTGTAACAAGGAGCACATAATAGACAGACATTTTGTGTATACAGTGATGAAACTCCAACACTAGACCCCAAACATGTCAGAGTGCTGATAAGACCCTTTGAACACATACTAAACACGCCAGTTTACTGGTAAGACCCTTTGACCACATACTAAACACATCTGTGTGCTAGTCAGAACCTTTGACCACATACTAAACATGTCCGCTGATCAGACCCTTTGACCACATACTAAACACGCCAGTGTACTGGTAAGACCCTTTGACCACATACTAAACACATCTGTGTGCTAGTCAGAACATTTGACCACATACTAAACATGTCTGCTGATCAGAACCTTTGACCACATACTAAACATGTCTGCTGATCAGAACCTTTGACCACATACTAAACATGTCTGCTGATCAGAACCTTTGACCACATACTAAACATGTCTGCTGATCAGACTTTTTGACCACATACTAAACATGTCTGCTGATCAGACTTTTTGACCACATACTAAACATGTCTGCTGATCAGAACCTTTGACCACATACTAAACATGTCAGCTGATCAGAACCTTTGACCACATACTAAACATGTCTGCTGATCAGACTTTTTGACCACATACTAAACATGTCTGCTGATCAGACTTTTTGACCAATACTAAACATGTCTGCTGATCAGACTTTTTGACCACATACTAAACATGTCTGCTGATCAGACTTTTTGACCACATACTAAACATGTCTGCTGATCAGACTTTTTGACCACATACTAAACATGTCTGCTGATCAGACTTTTTGACCACATACTAAACATGTCAGTGTGCTGGTCAGAACCTTTGACCACATACTAAACATGTCAGTGTGCTGGTCAGAACCTTTGACCACATACTAAACATGTCCGCTGGTCAGAACCTTTGACCAGATCTCTGAAAGCAGTTTTTCAGATCCAATCATTCTTTTTGTTCCACAGACCGGGAGCTGAGAGAATATACTTTTTCAGCCAGTTGGCCATTGAAATGAATGAACCTGAGGAAGGTGTGGCCCCCACAGACTCCAGGAGACGGCCTGATCAGCGATTGATGGAGGAGGGACAGTGGGATGAGGCTAACCGGGTCAAGCTCAGGCTGGAGGAGAAACAGAGGGAGATCAGGAAACAGAGGGAGGCTGAGGCCGAACGGGCAAGAGCTGAAGGTAGGATTTTGCTTCGGGGGTGTCATTATCTGCTGTGACAGGAGTGGCTGGCCCAGCTGTTACAGTGCCTAGCTCTAAAGCTGGAAACCCGCTTTTGACCCCCAGTAAAGTGGTGGAGTTTTTCCCTCAGATGGGCAGAAAAAAGTAGCCTCACCTGCATACTTTGTGGCAACAACACCAGTCGTGCAGTCCTAAATCCTCAGACTCATGACCCTAAAAATAATAAGCAAATACAGACATGAAAGACAGTTTTTTTTTTTTTAAATATGCTGTGAAGTGCTAGGTTGCAAGCTGAAAGAGATGATTGATTACTGGGCTGAAGCACAGTCTGTGATATTGTGAAGTCTCAGGTTGTCACTGACTCCTTCAGTCCATATCCTTTTGGGTCTCCCTCTGCCTCTTAGTGTTTCCATTTTCATGTCACACACTCTCACTGCCAGCATTCTCATTAGGTGACAGTTTTTGTCTCTGAATGAATTTAACATTTGGTATTGTTCTAGTAGCTGTTGTAATCTGTTTGTTTCTCACGTCATCTCTTCTGTTTTTGTTTGCAGCCTTTCTGGTATCTAATTTCACAGATGGCATTTTTTTTTTTTCGTTCTTTGGTAAAATACATTCTGACACTGGTAACCTAAAGTTGGCGTAAAGATTGGATATATAATTTGACTTTTTAACTCTTTTGGGAAAGCTGGGTGTTTCTAGGTTTG